TGAATACCCTAGCCGGAGCATGCAGTAGTGTTAGATATGTATTATATATATATATATATCCTAACCCCCCCCCCAAGAACTACCGCGAGGTGCCGCAATAGCTCCACCAATCCTCCTGGGTTTCGGCTTCTGGTGCATGATCCCGGCTTAGCGTTAGGTTTTGAAGCTCCCCGAGAAAAACACATGTATATCGGCAGCCGCCTTCATTCTCCATTCTTGCGACCCTTCACGCAGATACTCTGAGGGATGATTTCCACAACGATGAATCATTTCTGTCTGAATACCCGAGGCTCAATAAAGGCCCGAGCATGAACTCCCAAGAAAGCCGTCGCTGTAGTCTCAGATCAAATCCCAGCACTACGTATGACTGACCGTGAGCATTGACTGGGGATGTTCGAAGTAAAATAATTTGTTCTTGTAGTACATGTTTTCAGATGTTTTCACGTCGGTGGGACTTTTCCTTTCAGCAACACCAACACCCAACATTAACAACAGCAGCAACAACAACAGCAAAACACCTCACGTCAAAAACAGAACAGTCAAAAAGTGTCAGATGATGGAGGGAATGGAAATGATACGGGAGAGCTTGTAGATGGAGAGGTTACTTGCTGTTTGAAAGGAGGATGGGGCGGTGAAGGTGGACATAATGACTGAAAGAAGGGGAAAGGATATGATGACGAAGAAAATAAAGTGGTACAATCCGATTAGTGTTCCCGTCACTGACATCAAAGGAAGGGGAGGGGTTGTGATGACGGAACGGGTAAAGTGGTAAAACCATTAATATCTCCCCCACCTCTTGTAGCGATGAGCCTCTTCAGATCCTCAATCGCAAGCAATGTCCCCGCTGCTCTCTTCTGGTGTTCATGCTCAATAAACCGTCACTCACAAGCAGTGTCCTCCTTATCTGTTGTTGTAGCCTACTTTTTCCAAAATGTCCAAAGTTCTCCCTCTATGTTAAGGACCGACTCAGCCAGATAGGGCATCGATTCTAGGAAATTATTGGGAATTCTGGAAAGTTCAGGGGAGGAAGGTTGGAAATTCTGGAATGCTTGGACATTTTGGAACTCCTGAAAATTTTGGATTTTGTACATTTCAAAGATGTTTTTGACATTTGTAAAATTGTTTGCATTTTTTGGAAATCTCTGCACGTTCATGCAACCCTGCTAAACCTAATCTTAGTCGTAGTCTTAGTCTTAATCGTAGTACTGACTGAGTCTGGTTCTTACCACCTTTCTGGAGAGTGGAACGCCCTGGGCAAATGTAGTTTAACTGTGCAACCAGTAGGAATAAGATAAATACACAAGTACGAGTTATAGGAAACGCACAAAACAATCTGTGGAAAAGCCGGAACCTCATAGGGTTCTTTCCTGTAGTCTTGGTACCACTGCTATTGTTTGAAACGGTTTTAAAACTCGTACTAGCGTTAATATTAGTATTCGTTTTGTGGTAGTATTGATACTAGTATTTATATTAGTTTAGTTTTAGTAGTAGTATTGGCATTAGCATCAGCATTTAGTATTTAGTACAAGTATTGATATAATACTAGTAAGTACATACAAACTATTGTCAGTGTTCGTGTTTGTGTTAGTGCCAGTGTCAATGTCAGTGTTAGTCTTAATACTAATATTGATATTAGTATCAAGCTTAATGCTGCTTTTGATATCAGTTTTGATATTCGCCGAAGAACTACATTAACATGTTAATATAGCGCAATATAATTGTAAACTTAGTTTGATATACTCGTACATCGGTACATGGGTACATTAGTATATCGGTACATTAGTATGTTTGTATATGAATATATTAGTATATTTGTAGGCTAGTATGATACGACTATATTCGTAGAACAACCTAACAGTTGATACGTACATCAGTGTGTTGGTTTAATGGTATATTAAGATACCAGTATACTTGTATATAACGATATTGGTATATTAATATGCTAACATCATATTAATACACTACTATTCTCATACATTAATATATTAGTGTATTAGCATATTGGTATAAGGGTATACCAAAATACCGAGTTATTAGTACATGCAAATGTTAATATTCTGGTTTTTTAATATAACGGCAAGTATATCTATATACATAAGTATATGCAAGTGTGCATTAATATTGATATTACTTTACATTTGGAAATCAATATGATTACGATTATTGGTTTTCGTAGAATATTCATTTTTTGAATTGTAATCGTATTGTTATATTCGTATCAGCCTTAATGTACGTGTTAACATTCGTATCAATACAAGAAAAACCTGGAGTATTCAAAACACTATCAATGACAGTATTAGTGTTGGTAATAGTATGTCATTAACAGCCATGAGTGTATGCGTATTCATATATGGAGTATTAATACTTATGTTACTTGTGTTAATATATTGGTATTGGGATAAATATTGGCATTAGTATGAATAACAGTATTCGAATTAATATGATGATTGTTAATATGAAGATTCCTAATGACTGGAATATCTGTAGTAGTACTACTCTGGAGTTTCGTATGAGTATTAGCATAGCACTAATACTGATATGAAAGTTCTAGTATCGCTGTTGCTATGAGTATCAGTGTGCGTAGGAGTGTCAATATTCAACTTAATATCAATAATGGCATCATGTTTAGTACACATCGTTTAAGACCTGTTTTAGTCTTACTACAAATCTGATTGTTAATCGTCGTAGGGATAGTCATCTTAGTATTAGAGTTAGTTTCGTACTAGTATAAGTACTAGTCTTTGTATGAGTATGATATTAGTATCCTTCGAAATATTAATGTTATACTAATCATCTTAGTATATTTTGTTTTTACCAATCTTAATTTCAATATTCGCCGAAATATCAATGTACTTGGCTACTCGGATGCGCCGTGGCTGCAATCACGAACACGTTCTGAGCAGCATTTCGCGTCAACGAATGCTCAGTCCATGCACATCGAGACTCTTTCTCTACCTCTGCGCCTGATAACCGCGATCTGATTTGGCTTCGCTATTCGTCGTCATCGCCGTTACGCTTACTTGTGCGCCCGTTTGGTGCATGCATCCTGAGTACATGATATTTTGCTTGTTCATTGATACAAGAGTTTTTCGCTACTTACATACGATGAGGTTAAGATTAGTGCAGGTTGCTGTGCTTTTCCTTAGGGTTGAATGTCACAGGAGCCGATCTTGGCCGAGTCACCTGCCAAGAACACACAATACGTGTACCGCGGTCTCGTTGGGGGGGTGTGGTGGGGTGAGCGTATATGTTTGTGTATATATATATAGAGAGAGAGAGAGAGAGAGTGGGAGAGTGTGTGTGTGTGTGTAGCTACACATTACATACATACACACCTACGTACGGACATACGTACATGCGTACGCAGGCATCGTAGCTGATCTGATAACCTTCTGGCAACATTCATGCATCTGCATGCAAGCTCTGCATACTCCGGGCCTGTAGGCGTTGGTATCTTCCAGCTGCATATCCTGCGAGGAATCTGGAGACTTGGCCATTGCTTCTGGATGTTCCTTATCCACCGGCTGCTGCACCGCGGGACCTTACACTTGCTTGCTTCAGGCACGTTTCGAACATGCACGACTAACTTTCTTTGCCGTTTACTTGCCGTGAAAATTCGTCTATCAGTCACTTTGTCATGTGTATTACCTTTTACTTGGGCTTCCCATTCCAGATGCTTGGACAATGTCATCTTCTGTGGGACACTCTTGCCCTACGTCGTCATTTCCTTGGCATTGAGAAGCCTGTAGATTGCCCCAATATCGGCAAGAATGTGTCTAATGAGTCAAAGCAGACAGGCACTAAAATGATGGCGCAGCCGCCGATGTTTGCATAGAGCAGCGGCACGAAAGCTGTTCAACGGAAGACTCACGCACGCATGCGCACGTGCGCGCGGGCCCGCACGGGCACGCGTGGGCGCATGTGCACGCGTGCGCGCACGCGCGCACTCGCACACACACACACACACACACATGCACTCATGCCCGAGAAACACAGCAAGAAAAGACGACGTCACTACTCGCGGCGGGTTGTGAACGAACGTGCAACAGCTATAGGGTCAGACGGACAAAACTCCACCTGAGCAGGCCCAGCACCACTCCCAGGTCCCTCCTACATTGATGCAGAATTGGGCGGCATGCTAGAGCACCACAACTGCGGTAGGACCGTGCCTTCAAAATGATATCGGATTGTCTAGACTCTAAACAACACAGTACCATATATTGTCTGACAAGGTGGCAAGCAAATGATAAATTCCTGAGGACCCGTAGCATTCCCAGTTTCATGACTCCCAGCAGTTTGACATAGTTTGACCGTACCTTGCGTCCCTCACCACGGCCCGTTGACTTTCCGACGACACCCCGAGACGGAGCCCGGCCCGAGCCCGGACGCGAGGACCCCGAGTGCGAAAGCGTATCTCTTGAGAATGAGCTTGGAGCTGGAGTGACCATTGAGGGTAGCGACAGGAAAGAATGGTGTATCTGATAGCAAGGACCATGGACGAGAAGCTCTACCAAGATCCGGAAAGTGGGCAGAAACAATAGGAATGACGCATCCTAAGCCACGAAACAAATATACTTTCTGCCCCCGCCGTAGACCAGCCGTACACAGCCATGGCTGCCTTGAAGTCGCCCAGGCCGACAGGCAATGCAGGGCCGAGCCCGGAAAAACCAAGCACTGGCTCCTGACCCAAAGCGAAGCTTACGATTGTTTACGGGTTTCAGGGTTATAATCTAGATCCAAGGATTCAGGATTTCGTGCCCTCCAAGATCTTAATTGTTCCATCTCCCTGCACCCTTGGCTCCGGCTATGGGCCGTTGTCGGGCGTTCGTTCTGATCGGCACTGGGCCTGCGATGAAGAATTGTGGAACTCGGAGTCGTTGTTGGTATGTTTGCAATTGCATTTTGAACGGCTCTGTGGGAATAGGTACCTCCATCAAACCGCCAGGGAAATAGAAATGCACCGACGCGCCACCTAGTTTTGTTCTCAGCCCTATCCCACATTCCCAACCAAAAAACCTTCCAATAGCAGCATATGCACTGCATTGCACCGCCATCATATCCCGAAATCAATCTCATCCCCAGCTCCCCGCGGTGCCGCGAGGATCCGCACAGGAGGACCTGTAGTGAAGGCTGAGTGTGACCATGAGATCTTCTGCATCTTACGGTGTGGAGTTCAATACTCGGTTGTCGACGGCTGGTCTCCCGCATCGGAGAACTTTGCGCGCATGCATGTTGATATGGATTCGGCGACTCGATGGTTTTCGTCTCACTGTGCATAGGTACCAGCTGTGTTGGGGACAATTCACAGGCACTAAGCACTGCACTGCCCCGTCCAGTGTAGCATAGTGGCGAAGTATACTGCGTGCTGAGATAATTGAGGTATGACTGCCTAGCAGCAAGTATTAGAATCATAATTGCGTTTTGTTCGCTACTGGCACCTACGAATACAGCATCATCCAACCAGCTACTGGGAGTAGAAAATTTGGAACATCGGTATTGAAATCACATAGTGCAGGACTGTATGCGGCAGTGAGCATCTGGACGAGAAGCATCACAAACACAAACCTGCCGGGAAATGAACTAATCCTTCCAAACACTCTCGTGCTACGAATATGATCAAATTTCGAGTAATCACAAACCAAACATCCCAAGATTTGTTGCTAGTGCCGTCTGCGGACATGTGCTAACGCCGCAAGTGCGAAGACTACCACTCTGAGAAATACACGCATGTGACCGTATAATGTTGCAATGGCTCATGTCTGAAGAGATGCAGTACTGCGGTCAAAGCACGAGGAAAGCTTTCAGTTCGACCAGTTGCACCTTTTGTTATGTCCATGTCAATGTACTTGTAGGAAACGACCGCAGTGCATCGCTGCAGCCGAACAGTGCAGTAGTAGGTAGTTCCATCCACATCCAATTATACCACCAAGATTGTACTATCCAATTCTCAGGCGGCAAGCTCGGAAACCATGCCTCACACCCGCACTGCACAAACATTTCGAACTGCTTTCGTCCATGTTCCTCATCCCGATCCCATCATCACGTCCTTTTCCAAACCTCCCAAAGAGTGGGGTACCAACAACACATGCTTGGAGGGCCAGACGATTCCATCTGCGTAAAGTCGACCCATGCAATGCGAAACAGCATGTACAACCCGGATTTCGTGAGGACAGCCAGACGTCGCGAGATTTTTCGCACAAGCTGTAGAGAAACTGCATCGAAACAAACGGAACCGGCAATTGTTTGAGGGAGCGCTGCCAGTGCATTGAAATAAATGGAACTGCAAATGCGCAGTGTGTTAAGGGACGCTGCCTGTTGATGTTCGGAACCCGCCCTTGGGCAGCAACTTGGACTGCAGTTTCCACGAAGCGAACATTGACTCTCGAAGCTCTTTTCCGCTTTCCACAAACCCCAGATGCCCATACCACTCGATGACCTTCTTATTCTAACCCCGCTTCCCTAAGCCACCGATTCCGGGAGGTTCTTCAGAGACCTAGCCCTAGCCAGAAGTTTGACGGTAGCTTTTGCATGCATGCATGCACATACTTGCGTGTTCTGCGGCAGCAGTCAGCTCGACAAAATCGAGACTGTTTCAACCCCAGACCGACCATTTGCTTGCAAGCATACTCTTTAAAGCTTCAAGCCCTGCATCGGAAATCTCGAGCGGTGGAAACAAAACATTGTCCGATGCTTCTGTCATGAGCTTTGGGCAGTGGGCTCTTACGATTGCTTACTTGCGCAAATCCTACGGGCCACGGTCTACAGTACCATAGGTACGCAGCCCGAAATCCTCACTTGACTTTGGAGCCAGCACCGCGTCACAGCCAGGGCACCCTGGCCGGTGACATCTCGGTTCCTGCGGCCTGGAAATTCTCGAGCAAGGCGGTCACCTTGTGAGCGCTCTACTTCTGGCTAGTGCCGGAAAGTGGATGCCCACGACTGTGGTCTGAAAGTCTCATACTCATACCTATGCGCTCTAGAAAGCTCAAAGGCGTAGCATGGCGTAGCCCTGCAAAGACTTTTTTAGAGAGACACCCAACGACATCGCTCCGCTCCCGTCCTTATCCTCAACACTTCTTCCCACCCGGATCCACCCCCTCCAATCTGAGAATGGCTGGCACGGTCATCGCATGTGTTCTGATCATAACTCTGTGTGAGAGATGAGGAGGAACGGATGGGAGGTACATGAAATGGATGATGTAGTATCTAACTACATCTAGGGTTTCGTGGTTCGTATGTTGCATGGAATTATGCTGGAATACTTGTGGGCTCAGGATGAGTTAGGGCGCAGTGTGCTGTCGTTTAAAGCAAATCAGGACTCAGGATAGTCCTGCCCAGACCAGCCCAAAGTGCACTCGTACATACATATCATACATACATACATACATACATACATACATACATGCATGCATGCATGCATGCATGCATGCATGCATGCATACAAGCAAGCATGCATACAAGCAAGCATGCAGAAATACATACATGCATACATACATGAATGCATGCCTGATTCCCTGCCTGCCTGCCTGCCTGCTCCATCTCTCCCTCTCTCTCCCTCTCTCTCTCTCCCCCATCTCTCTCTCTCTCTCTCTCTCTCTCTCTCTCTCGCTCTCTCTCTCTCTCTCTCTCTATATATATATATGCAAATACAGATGATTGAAAACGTATCTGCACATATGCATATATATATATATAAACATACATACATACACACATACATACATACATACATACATACATACATACATACATACATGCATGCATACATACATACATACATACATACATACATCTATATATATATATAATAGTTCTTATTAATATATATATATATACACATACTATATGCTTTATATGCCTATGTGCGGCATGTATACCTATCGTGTTTGTTCGTGTGGTCATGCTATGACACCGCCCCAAAACTCTACTCCACATGTCGTTTGCTATCTGGCCTCCTGAAACCTTTTTGAAGACCTAAGATTTCCAACAGCTTACCAGACATACAGGCATGTATGTGTACAAGGTTTAAATTAGTGTGTACATCGAATCTATATGTGTATCTGGCTATCTATCTACCTTGCTATTTGTATGTATGTATACGTATATGTTTTCGCATATGTTTCTGTATATGTTTATGTATATGTATGTATAAATGTATGTGAATGTCTGTATGTATGTAAATGTAAATGTACATGTATATGTGTATGTATATATATATATACATACATACATACATACATACATACATACATACATACATACGTAGGTATGTATGTATGTATGTATGTATGTATGGATGGATGGATGTATGTATGTATGTATGTATGTATGTATGTATGTATGTATGTATGTATGTATGCTAATATGCATATGTGAATGTCTATGTGTGTATGTATGAGTATATGCATATCTTCATCTCGCCACCAGGTTAGTGAATGTTAGTGGGTTAACGGACTCTCCTCCCGAATCGGGGTCTGGGTCTGCCCTGGCCGCTTGCTATCATCATGCCTGCAGAAACGTCAACAAAAGTTCTAATAGTAACAGTGCACCACAAAGATGCATCAACATAGTCGGCTTAACTCGATTCGAAGCCCACAATTGCTTGAATTCCCTTAAGATGAGGATCCCCACGAAGCCTGATCAAGGGAAAGAGGTTTATCCCAAACCCTGAAGCCCGACCCTAAACCAAAACCCTACGAAACCCTAGCCCGAAACCCCTAGATTCTGAAACAACACTCTCATCCAGCAGCCCCTAAGCCTAAATCATCCTAAATTCCTGAACCCTTAGTTTAGAGGTCCTTATGACCGAGTCCCATGTACACATTTTCCGGGAAATCCCCCTGAAATCATCCGAGCAAGGGCAAGAGCGCGAGCGGGAGCAAGGGCAGGAGCAAGAGCCACGACAAGAGCAAGACCCAGAGCAGGAGCATGATCCTCCCCAATGTGTGAAAAAACCTAGTAAACAAAAACTTAGACCATCCCTTTTTGAGTCTTTATTGGGCGAGGGGAGAGCCCTGCCCGTTTAGTTTACAGAAAATAAGACATTACGGGAAAGGGACTAACCAGCATGGATTGGTGGACTCCCCTCCCCCCCATGGTGTGGTGTGGTTAGGGGCCCGTTCACACCCTGCGCACACGCGGACACACACACACACAACACAGACGAGCGCACGCACATACTCGCAGGCACATGTGCCCGTGCACTTACCAAGACGATCTGTGCTTACACATAGGTGAAATTGCACTGTACTGTTGTTGATATGTTCGAAATGATTCTACTTGTGCCTATATGTAACACACACACACACACAGAGACTGTAAAGGAAAAGGCGCACCTCATTGTCGCATCTGAGAGGCCAGGTGAAAGCGAGATAGGTAGTTGAGGCCGAAGTGCAGCTCAAGGCCATCCGGCGTCTCCTTGTCGTTGGTTTTGGCACGAGACTCTTCGAGATTTGCTGTCGAGTTTCACATGTATCGCCGGGACTTATTAGGATAGGGCTTTCCTTCCTGAGTTTCAAGTCTATCTTCAACGGTCCAAGCAGCGCCAATTTACCATGTTTCAGGACTGGACCTGGCTTTGCGCATCTAAAGCAGCTGTGCCATGTAATCAAGGCCGTCTGCAGCGAAAGACCCGGTGGGGAGATCTACCGAAATCCCAAAGGCCATGACATCATGCCTTGCAAACGTTGCCCGTTTTTCGTCATGCTTGCAGAGTACTAATTAACACAAAAGCAGGTGCAATGACACGAAAGCAATGCAACTCTCAACACCGCAATGAGAGCCCCGGTGCGTGCAGTGACTCTGGCCTATAACAAGGTACCGAAGTCCCGTCTGCTTGAAGTCAAACAGATAGCCGATGAAACCGCAACGTCAGCCTCTCCTCTCTGGTCGGCACTGCAGTGACGCCTGCGAGGAGCCTCAGCGACGGTTTTGACGACTGCTCTTACGCAGACTGCATGTGCACATGGCTTCCCCGGTACACCCTCTCCCGCGGACACAAGTGCCGAGCTGCCAGCTGTTGCATGGATAGTAAAAACAAAGTTATTCAACACTGCTCCACTCTGGACAAACGTTGCACTACGTCGACGGAAGGGGGGCATAAGCCTGAATTCGTCTCGATGTTTGTGCTGTTGTCCATGCTCCTTTGAACTTGTAAGTTCTATAAACAGTGTAGAGACCTCCTGTAACTGCAACTAGATTGTCACCCCGTACCTGTGCAGATTACTGTGCGTAAACTCTGAACTCTGAATGAGGCATCATTTTCAGAAAGCGGGCCAGTCTTCTCCGGCGGGCGCTGACAGAAGCGTGTGTGTGGGCGGTTTGCAGGCGTTCGCATTTCTAACCCTCAACCCCAAACAATACAGGAACTTTGCAAGATGTGGTCCTGACGACTCCGCATTTCTCAAACACAGTCGACCGACAGAAGGCAGAGTTCTCAAGCCTCGATATTCCGACTCCGAAATCTGTCAAAACTGGGCTTGTTCGGATTGTTCGACATCTGGTTTGATTCTTACCGGCTGTGAAAAAATGTTCTCAAAGTGGTTACCCTCACCCCACCCCCCCCACCCAAGAAGGCTCAACCTCAAGATGCCTTGTGGTCGAGAGGCGCTGCACAATGTATGGGCCGACCCCGCAGCTGAGAACAAAGCGATCGAACCTGCAAATAGCGAAGGCTCAAAGTTTGCAGATGGAGAACTACACTGCACTTGTTACATGTGCACGTTGTAATTTCACGCCTGATCAGTTGCCGTATACAACCGCCGCACCATGGAACCCAAAAAAAACCTCACAAGCGTAGAAATATCCAGCGAGCCTCCATTTGGCGACTGAGATCAACAGCCAAAAAGTCTGCTTGGATGCCAGACTGCAGCACAGGCAATAGATCTTCGATGTCAATTGTGGGGGCTTTGTTTGACATCGTCTCTGTTCGGCACTCAGCTGACGCAGGCCGTGAAGATCGGGTATGCAGCTACAGCTGATTCGCGCGCGACTGCGTGTCTGCGTGCCTGCAGCTTGCCGGTGGGGAGGCCCGGGTGGGCAGGCAGGCGGGCATGAGTGCGGGCGTGCGTGTGGGCATGTAATCCATCTTGAAGCATTTGGGGTCCTAGCTTTTTCGATTTGGGGGTCTAGGTTTTGGCTTGGAAAACTGACAACAAATCTAGGTTTAGGCCTGGAAAAACTGACTTGTGTAAAAGTTCTTTCTGGCCTGTGATAAACAGAAACATAGGCATCGGAAATTTGAGTGTTGTAGGGGTTTGGTCAAGATACCAACGATCCCACAGCAATGGTGCACCTTCTTGACCCAACTCCCTGCCACAAATTCAATGGGAATCGATTCCTGTTGGCTTGGTCCTGTCGATTTGCCACACGCAAGCAACGATTTCTTTCAATTCCTCCAAGCCTTAACCTAGATTTGTTTTCTGTTCTCCAAGCCAAAACCTATATAGAACCCCAAATCGAAAAACCTAGGACCCCCAATGCTGCAACATGGCTTGTCTGTGTGCGCGCG